AGCCCAAACATGATTTGCGAACAAGGGGTTGCCACAACCACTACATATTCTCTTAGATAGGGAGATCCGCAACATGAGGATCGGAAACAATGCGGGCAAGCAAGTGGGCATAAGTGGGCATTGTACTCAGTGACGGCAGTCCGTCACAGTCCTATCTTCATACCTTTGCGTGTTGCGCTTCTGTCATGAATTTCTTTATCTGACCATTTTAGTAGCAAGAACTGTCTTCTGCTTATCCTTGTTTCGACCATTTCATGTTGGCACAATAATAATGGCATCATTTTTATGATTTGCATTTATATAGCGCCAGCATATTCCTCAGTGAACAAGTAACTGACATACAGAATATAACAGAGAAAAGAGATAAAGAAGGCCCTGCTAGAAAGAGCTTAAAATCCACTGTATGAAATGATTGTGATCCTGAAATATTCGTTTCTAAACACGTACGTTATAGATTGTAAATTAGTTCAATGCCATATATGTGGGTTTAATGGCTTGCGTTGGCCACACATATAGGTGCCTTGGCAAGCAGAGTGCTTGGGAAGAAATAACTGGGCACATTTGGGCCTGTATAGAATTACTACGCAGACACAATCAAGCATGAACGTGCCTGGACTATCACGTTACCAAGCACAAGCATGTGCTGTGGAGGTAAGTGTGACTTAACCTTCGATGAGTGGGGTTATAAAGTACTGTCACCTCTAGAGAAGTGATGTTCCACTTTAAAAGACCTGTAAGGACACCATGTGTATAAAGCACAAGCTGTAAAGACAGGACTGATTCCAAGTTCGGGAACATTTCTAGAAGAACATGCAGTACATTGCGCTCTGGGCCAATCGCCAGGAAACCAGCTCTGGAGTAAAAATTGGAGTCAACAGCAGTCAGCAGATCTGGCAATGATCCCACCTTATGCTTTGTCTAAAGGGGAACAAAACCAGAATATCCTGAATGCAAGCTTTGCTTCCAAGACACACATCTCCATATCCTCTGACATCTCTTCAAACCTGATTGTATCTATTCATATCCAGTGATGTCTTCTTATACCCACTGTTATCTACACAGACCCGCTGATATCTTCTCATACCCACTGATATAGAAACATAGAAACATAGAATGTGACGGCAGATAAGAACCATTTGGCCCATCTAGTCTGCCCAATTTTCTAAATACTTTCATTAGTCCCTGGCCTTATCTTATAGTTAGGATAGCCTTATGCCTATCCCACGCATGCTTAAACTCCTTTACTGTGTTAGCCTCTACCACTTCAGCTGGAAGGCTATTCCATGCATCCACTACCCTCTCAGTAAAGTAATACTTCCTGATATTATTTTTAAACCTGTGTCCCTCTAATTTAAGACTATGTCCTCTTGTTGTGGTAGTTTTTCTTCTTTTAAATATAGTCTCCTCCTTTACTGTGTTGATTCCCTTTATATATTTAAATGTTTTCTATCAAGGTACAACCCACACATCTCGTCCCCTTAGATAAGCATTTAACATAATTAACAAGCATAAATTTTTCCCTGAGTTTTGGATGTACCCCAAATATCCCCTGATAGCCCTAATCTGGGGGAGCAACATATTTAAAAATCACCCAGATCAGGTCAAAGGTTCGGGAGTATATCTTCTTATACCCACTGATATATTCTCATGCCCACTGATATGTTCTTATACCCACTGATATCTTCTCATACCCACTGTTATCTACACATACCCACTGGTATCTTCTTATACCCATTTATACCTACACAGACCCGCTGATATATTCTCATGCCCACTGATATATTCTCATGCCCACTGTTATCTACACATACCCACTGATATCTTCTTATACCCACTTGTAATGGCTACCCCAGTTGGTGAGAGGGTATCAGCCGTTGGAGACGTCCTTTTTCCCGGCAAGCTGCTGTGCAGTAGTGAAGTTGCTTATTCCCATTCACTGGATCCAAGTAGAGAGCAAGGCAGAGCTTCTTAAAAGAGCTTGGTGATTAAGCTGCAGTTTCCCTTCCAAGAACGAGACAAGGCTACGTTTTGAAAGGTCAAGAAGAACGGAACTTTAATGGCAGAGGCTCTCCTTTTATGCGATGTTTCCCATGCAAGGGAGGCACCCACACAATTATTACAGTAACCAATAAAGCACAAGGTACAACCCACACATCTCGTCCCCTTAGATAAGCATTTAACATAATTAACAAGCATAAATTTTTCCCTGAGTTTTGGATGTACCCCAAATATTCTCTGATAGCCCTAATCTGGGGGAGCAACATATTTAAGATCACCCAGATCGGGTCAAGGGTTCGGGAGTTATGGAACTTTAAAATGTTGACCGACCGCACAGGCAACAACAGCCGAAAACAGTTCCATAAGTTTTGGTCTTGCGGTCGGTCTCTGTTCATGGATTAAAAGTCCCGAAATGCTTGTCATCCGTGAATATCCTGGTGTTCGTTAGAATCCCCATGTTTAACTTAGTCTGTCTACCGAACGGTGAGATGTTCGGTAGTTTCGGCACGAATTTAGGGGAGTCTGGAGGTCTCAGCGGTGTTTGCCTAGTCGAGTGTCTGATTTTAGTTCCAGACACTCGACGGCAAAACACCGCTTTTCGGGAGTTTAAGATGGCCGCTGCCACATGTAAAACTCCCGAAATGGCGGCCACCCAGGGACTTAAACAAAGTGTTCGTGGGTTTTCAATATGAATGTATTAGCCGAACAGGGAGGTAAATTGAAGCACAATTAGGTATCAGGGTGGTCCGGTGTTTGGTAGTTTTCATTCGTACGATGTAATGACCATATGGGTTAGTCCCAAGTAAAATAAAGTTTTAGTCAGTTCTTCTTTACCCTTCAAAACGCAGCCTTGTCTCGTTATTGGAAGGGAACTGCTATAATCACACTGTGGATTGCTATGCTCTGCATACTCCCTTGAGCTTTAATCACTTAGCTCTTTTAAGAGCTTGTTCCTGTCCTGATACTCTCTCCTGGAGGAGAGGTCTTCCCCACACAGTCCTGGATGCTGAATGTTCATACAGGGTGGAAGGAAGACAGCGAGACTCCAGTTAAGCTATGGCGATTGTGAAGTTTGCGGTAGTTGTAGTGTCCAGTGCTGTGCTTGTGGTCCTTGGCGCAGGCTAGTAAGCGTCCATCAACGGAAGGTACTCGGTCGGAGTACGGGGAGTTCCGTTACAACATGTTTCAAATGCTCCCCCCAGGTCTCGCTATAGATCGCAATGTCATCCAGGTATGCACAAGCAAAGTCCTGGACGCCAACAAGGAGCCTGTCCATCAAGCGTTGGAACGTGGCTGGGGCATTCTTCATCCCGAATGGCATGACCCTAACCTGGTACAGGCCAAACGGGGGTGACGAATGCCGACTTGGGGATAGCCTCCTTGGCCAGGGGAATCTGCCAGTATCCTTTGCACGAATCAATAGTGGTCAGATATCGCCCCCTGGCAATGCGATCTAGTAGTTCGTCCACTCGGGCATCGGGTAGGCATTAGTCACGGTATGGTCATTTAGGCATCTATTGTTAACACAAAACCGGGTGGTTCCGTCCTTCTTGGGAACTAAAACGACTGGTGAGGCCCAGGGACTGTCGGATGGCTCTATGACTCCTAGCCTAAGCATCTCCTGTATCTCTTTTCTCATTTCCTCCTTAACTGCCTCAGGATTCGGTAGGGGGTTTGTCTAAAGGGTGTCTGTCCCAGAGTCTTTACGTAGTGGGTCGCTAGCGTGGTGTACCCGGGTTCTTGGGAGAACGTTAATCCCTTTTCGGTTAGCAGCTGTCTGATCTGACCCTTTTCCGCTGGGTTTAAGCGCTCCCCTAGCTGGACAGTACTGAGCAAGCTATTGGGCCCCGGGCGTGCTAGTAGATCTGGGATAGGCAGACTGTCTGGGTGAATAATAGTAGGTAACAAAGGCCTACACGTAATAGGAGATCTCTTACCGGATGATATAAATTAAAAAACTCTAAAATATAATATCGAAACCACTTGTAAATGTATGAATTACTGAAATAGTAAAATGTGCAAAAATGTCTTAGAATATACAGAACTTAGAATATAAAAAACTGGTTGTAATATAGATAAATACATTAGGTGGCAGCCTTGCATAAAAGAATCTGGTGTAAAAAGGGTCTTCTTCTAAACAGCGAAAACTCTGAATATACAAAGTGTGAAAAAATTTCAGGTTTAATAGTCCAATAAAATCCAAAGCGATTAAAAAATAGAATAATGTCCAGTAAAGTCTATGATAAGCAATGTTCTTTTAGTGCAACAGTACCAATATCACATCCCACACATTGTGCTTCTGCTCAATAAAATAACAGTAGCAATAAGTGTCAAGTTGTGAATATAATTTAACCAATGCTAATATATATATGTGAAATTTCGGATAGCAGCAACAAACTAACAGTTACTATTATACCACCAATACAGGTATATAGTACTACGATCTCTAGATGATCGGTAATGTTAGTAAAAAAGTCCAAAGTGTTTATATTAAAAATTCCATATTTATTGAAAATGAAATTAAAATTAGAACACACTCACAGAATAGACAGCAATTGAGTCCTTGTTTGGTAAGAAAGTCGGGTGATGGTCAGCAATCTGAGGGAGAACTTTCTCCAGCCGGTGAGATGATCTTACTGCGTTAGGGGAGGTGAGACACCTCTGGCGTGCGTTCCACTCAGTGCGCCCGATTTGCGTTCCACGGTTGCTCGGTAGCTGGATCAATGTACGGCAATTGCTGTCTGGGTCCTCTGTAGCAGGGATACATATGGCCGCAATATAATCTGGCCTCTCTTGATATTCCTTCAAGAGATTAACATGGAAGGATTTCTGAATCCTTACATCCTTGTTGCTGGCAATCACATAGGAAGTGTCACAGACTTGCACCACCACCTTGTAAGGGCCCTGCCAAGAGGTCTAGAGCTTATTCCCTTTAACTGGTCTAAGCACCAGGACCTTCTGTCCCACCTGGAATGATCTCTGTCGGGCGCCCCGATCGTACCATCGTTTCTATCGACCCTGGGCCGCATGGAGATGGTCTCATGCCATCCGAGCTAACTGCTCCATGTGGTCCCACATCTCTAGAACGTATGGCACAATGGGGACACCCTCATGTTCCATCTCTCCCTCCCAGTGCTCCTGGATGAGGTCGAGGGGGCCTCGAATTCTTCTTCCATAGAGCAGCTCAAAAGGGACCCAGTGGACTCCTGGGGCACCTCTCGATATGCAAACAAGAGGTGCGGCAGGAATCGCTCCCAGTCTCTGTACTCGGCTGTAAAGGTCCGCAGTAACTGTTTCAGGGTACCTTTAAAACGCTCACAGAGACTGTTAGTCTGGGGGTGGTAAGGTGAGCTGAGCAGGGTTTTAATACCGCAGACCTTCCATAACTGTTGGGTCAGGTCTGCGGTAAACTGAGTCCCTCTGTCAGACAGTATTTCTTGTGGGAATCCCACTCTGGTGAATTTCCCGACCAAGGCACTGGCGACAGTGTCAGCCTGGATATTCGTCAGAGCGATGGCATCCGGATAGCGGTTCGCATAGTCCACCACGGTAAGAATGTATTTCTTACCTGATGGACTGGGGTTGGGTAGGGGCCCCACTAGATTGACTGCCACCCTGCTAAACAGCTCCTCGATCACGGGCATGGGTGACAGTCGAGCCTTAGGGTTGTCCCCTCTTTTCCCTACTCGCTGGCAGACGTCACACGTGCTGCAGTAACGCCGCACATCTTTCGAGATCCCTGGCCAAAAGAAGGTCTGTGTGATCCTGTAAGTTGTGCGGTTATCACCCAGGTGTCCTGCCAAGGGAATATCATGGCCGATTCAGAGAAGTTCCGACCAGTACTTTCTGGGTACCACTAGTTGGCGCTTCTGCGAAGGGGCTCTTCCTACCTTCCGTTAATCTGTACAACCTGTCGTTATCCCATATAAAACGTTCCCGCTCATCCCCCCACTGTCGGCTATTTTGGAGGGTTGGGTCCTCTCGGGTTTCCCTCCCAAACTCTTCTGGGGTATCTAGGGTTACGGGTTGGTTCATTGCTTACCTGGGTCTCCCATCCTGGTGTAGGGTCGTCTGCAGCCTGGGTCTGTGATCGAGTGGTCACTGGGCAAGCAGCAGCAGTGGTTGTGGGTAAATAGGCCGGAGCCAGAGGGCCAATATCGTTGCACAACACGACTTCAGCAGGCAGGTTGTGTAATGCCCACAGTGGTTTTCCCAGACCCGACCCCCCAGTCCAGGTGTACCCGGGCAGTAGGGAGGCGAAAAACAGCCCCTCCTGCCATGTGTACAGTAACGGTGCGATTAGACAAATGTTCTGTTTGACTAAATGTCTTTGCATCAGGGTGGTGGTAGCAGCGGTGTCCCTCAAGCCTTGGGCTAGCTGTCCATTTACTCACACCTCTTGGCGGTGATGCTGATGGTTTTCTGGGGATGCAGCTTGTATCAGGTCTGCCTCATATAGGATGCCCAGGCATTCCTCGGTCTTTAGGCAATGGGAGGCAGAGGTATGAGGTGGTCTCAGCGTTGGGTGAGGTGCGCCTCCAATTGGTAGCGGATGATCCCAAGGGGCAGAAGCGGGCAATGTGCCCAGTGTTGCTGCATCGATGACAAGTCGTCCTAGACAAATCTCGGGGGTACGGGAGCATGGAACTCCGGGCAAGGAACGGTGGCTGGCGTACGATGTTCTACGCGGTTAGATGGTCGAGAGGTATTTTGGCTCACTTTTCTAGTTTCGGCATACTCATCTGCCAGCCGAGCAGCATCGTTTAAGGTTATGGGGTGGCGGTCTCACACCCAGTCTTGTAAGTCGGCCGATAAGTCCTGGAAGAAATGTTCCATTAAAAACAACTGTAAGACTTCCTCCACGGAGTCTGCGTGGCAACCTTTGACCCAGTGGGATGCCACTCGTTGTAGCTGGCTAGCCCATTCCATGTTGGAGTCCACAGCCTTTTTCTTGGACTCCTGGAAGCGGCGACGGTAAGTCTTTGGAGTCACGGCATACCTGGTGAGGAGGGCCTCCTTGACTCACTGATACTGCAGTATGTCATCTGGGGTGAGGGCCCGAAAGGCTTCGTTCGCTTTGCCAGACAGCTTCCCGGACAAGATAGTGACCCATTGATCTGGGGGTACTTGATGTAAAGAGCACTGTCTTTTAAAATCTGCTAAGTATCCATCAATCTCGTCCTTGTTCTCCACAAAAGCTTTAAATGCTGTGAATGGGACCTTCTTTGGTTGGTTGGAGGGGGGTAGGAACTGCCTGTGTAATGGGTTGTTGTGCTCTTACCAGTTCGATTTCGTGTCCCCTCCTCTCCCGAATATCTGCTTTCATGTCGAGGAACAGCCGATCAATCAGTTCTACTGATGGTGTTGGGTACAGGGCTAGTCTCTGCACAATGCGGGTGATTTCGTCTTCCTCGCTGATCGGAGCATTTGGTTCGGTGACTTCCATGGACCGATCTATTTCGTCCAGCTCCAGCAGGTTGGCTATCAGCTCTCTCCGTGGTCTGTTACTGGCACTCTGTCCACGACTCTCCAGTAGATCCTTCAGTGTGGGTCTCTTCAGTCTGGCATACTGAGCCTCCATTCAGCACTTGCTCTGTGGATGAAAGAACCATCCCGCCGCTGCCACCAATGTAACGGCTACCCCAGTTGGTGAGAGGGTATCAGCCATTGGAGACGTCCTTTTTCCCGGCAAGCTGCTGTGCAGTAGTGGAGTTGCTTATTCCCATTCACTGGATCCAAGTAGAGAGCAAAGCAGAGCTTCTTAAAAGAGCTTGGTGATTAAGCTGCAGTTTCCCTTCCAAGAACGAGACAAGGCTACGTTTTGAAGGGTCAAGAAGAACGGAACTTTAATGGCAGAGGCTCTCCTTTTATGCGATGTTCCCCATGCAAGGGAGGCACCCACACAATTATTACAGTAACCATTAAAACACAAGGTACAACCCACACATCTCCTCCCCTTAGATAAGCATTTAACATAATTAACAAGCATACATTTTTCCCTGAGTTTTGGATGTACCCCAAATATCTGTGGTACATTCATAAATCCAGTATCCCCTGATAGCAATAATCTGGGGGAGCAACATATTTAAAAATCACCCAGATCGGGTCAAGGGTTCGGGAGTTATGGAACTTTAACGTTTTGACCGACCGCACAGGCAACAACAGCCGAAAATAGTTCCATAAGTTTTGGCCTTGCGGTCGGTCTCTGTTCGTGGATTAAAAGTCCCGAAATGCTTGTCATCCGTGTATATCCTGGTGTTCGTTAGAATCCCTATGTTTAACTTAGTCTGTCTACCGAACGGTGGGACATTCGGTAGTTTCGGC